AAATTACACTGTGATTCACATAATAAATGTAAAGAAAAAAATAAACAAGCAGGTAAATCTTTCAAAACACTGATTTGTTTAGTTATATTTTGATAGAAAGTCTTCAGCTTTCAGTGAACTTCAAAGTAACCATTAAGTTTCATTTATTATAAAATATCTAACATGATGGAACAAAATGTGGAAATTCAATTTGTCAGATTTTTGAACTAAAGTTTCACTAAATGTAAAACAAAAACTTCACTCAATGCCTTTGGCCTTCAGCTCCTCCTTGACTCTGCTCAGGTATTTCTCATCTGGATACCCGTAACTGTGAAAGCAGAAAATATAAACGGTTTAATACATGAAACAAAAAGCTGAAGCACAGTGAATACAAAGGTGTTAAATTAGAGAACCGTACCACTCTGGTCCTCCTGTCATGGACGTCTTGTGGTGGATGTCATTCCAGGTCACCATGTTATCGGCCCCACTTGTCCTAGAAGTCCCAACAGTGAAAATCAGCTTCTGATCAAAAGCTTTTTTCAGGAGAAGCAGAACTTCATTTCCCTCTTTGTTGTCAGGAAGATATGCATGTCTGGTAGTTCCTCCATAGTACTGACCAGGCTTTGGATGATTTTTCTGCCAGGTAGAAAGAAAAAATTCAGGTTAATGGTAGCCGTCTTAAACCAAATGTTAAATTACAGATATATGTGCTTAGACATTACCGTCTGTTTTCCACTTGGAATGTGATAGGTGATGCATATTTGGCCACAATTTGGGAATCCAGGTAGAGATGAAGGATTTCTACTAAAAGTCATTGTTCCATCAGGTTGGTTTCCCTTCATCACACCAAAAACATCCTTACAAATTGGACAGATGGGTCCACATGATTTCACTGCACTTTGCAGGCACTCCTTACAAAATGCATGTTTACACTTCAGTTGCTTCTTATTAGTAAAATCAGACAAACATATTGGACATGTGTCTTCTTTGTTGTCCCATGTTGCCACTGGGTGGCACCTTATGGTGCCACTGGGCTCCATAAGGTGCCTGGTTGACACCCTAATATTCTGGTACAGACGCAGCAGAGCTCTGACAGCATGGCTCTCCATTGCTGGGTTTCCTCCATGTCCTTTATATGATGATTGGACATTAACTTTGCCCTCACTGATGCTGGATTCCTTAAAATCCACATTGAACTTAGCTTTGATCACTGCAAGGTGGTTATCATAAGAAGACTTCAGGCTTTTCCACTGGTCCTTATCTATGGTCAGACCTTTATCAGCAAGATCATCTTTGATTGTCATGTTTTTCACCAGGAGATCACTACTGAAGTTACGTATTGGTAGTCCTGGATATTTGGCGGTCATGTTTATACTCCTCTGTAATGTACCATTTGATGCAGGTTTGTGCTGTTCAGCCGGTGTGTTTGTCGTCTGCATTGCATTCAGGACGGCACTGAATTCATCTTGGCTTTGCTTTGGACCACTAACAATAACTTCTTCTGATGACATGGTGAGCAAAATCTTGTCCTTGTTTCTCTTGATGACTTTTAACGCGTCGCTCCACTGATCTGGATCTACAAACTTGAGAGGAATCACTGCCTGGCCTGAATCAGCAGAGCAGCTCTGTGACAGATCAATGAACTCATTGAGAGCTTCATGAGGGTTTCCATCTTCCTGCTCAGCTTCAAATGTCACATGGACCTGTGCCACCATTTTAATTTTATTCTTCCTCTCAATCTGTTTAATTCCTTCCTTGTGGATGTGATTCATGTACCAGAAGT